CCAAAATTTAAGCTCTGAATCCTTTCAGTGCGTAGAGTTTTCGATTGATACAATAAACCTTGAGCAGGTTTCAGCGGTAGTTATGATAAGTACTTGTGCCATTTAAGTCAACGGCCCTAATCATTATGTAGGTAGGTCTTAGGTACGGTGTTGAGGATACCACCGTATTTATTTGTGGGTTCATAAGAAAGAGGGAGTAAGAATAAAGCATGGTTGTAAAGTTGTAAACGCTGCGTTGTGAGTTTATTCTGAAGTCCAAAGCGTGTTGTGTTGACCTTTGGCACTTTTAAAATGTCTTTTAAAGGATGCGGACGTTAGGTACCAAATACGTTGAACAGCATGAAAAAAACACTCGATTATTTTCCATATCCTTCTAAATCTTGCCATTCAACACTTCTTTGTAGAAATTCAAGAAGGCCTTTAGTCAAGTAACAAGGCTCGAATCTCTCTGACTTACTGCCGCCAACAACTGCGTCGATAAAAACATGGATAGCCCTTTAAAAACAGACCTTCGAAATCCCGCTAATTATTTGAATCCGGAATCCAGTATCTGGAATTTCGGAATCCACAGCGCGGTATCAAGAATCCACGAATAACCTTAAATCCTCTTAGGCAGGGGTGGGATAGGCGAGTACCTTGAATGCCTCATAAACGCCCACTTCCAAATAAATGAGAAGTCCAAAGACTACTGCAAAGATTATCATAACAACCGGTATTGCTTTTTCATAAAAATATTTTGGCTGGTCATACCAACCTTCTTCAGGTTTACAGATGTTACTGAATAATATGATAGGAATTACAATTTGCCATACATAAAGAATGTCGCAATAGAAGGCGACCCAAGCTTGGTGCATAAATTACCGCGAGAATCGATATTGTTTTGCATATTACGAACGGCTTAAAGACTGTGTATGAGAAATTCAATATAGTTGTTAAAACGTAGAAATATGGGCATGGATATAGAAATAAATTCTAATTACGCAAACTTGAGCCTGTTGTTGCTTTTTCTGTGTAATCTGGGCTCAATTCATGGCCATTTTATACTGTTTTGCGGCTCGTTGTTTGTTCGGTGTTGTTTTCCTACATAACGCGCAGCAAGGCAGGTGACTGTGTGCAGTCTCATCTCACAAATCTCTCCCGCATCAAAGAACATTTAAATTGTTCGTAATATGCAAACAGTATCGAAACTGGCGGTAATTTATGAACCGAGCTTGGGCCGCCTGTGATAGAAGCTGTTTTTTCAAAAAAAGGGAGAGGCGGAAATGACGCACAACATAAAAAATAAAAGAAAAAATAATAAGGACATGGATTACAATTCATCGCGGCGGTTTAGGCCATAAGGCCACTGACTTAGTGCTTGTGGTTCAGTTCGGTGACTTCCTCGCCTTACGGACTGAGTCAAGCGCCTCAGATCAAGGACAGATTGATTTAACGAACACAGACGACTAGTAGACAAAATTAAACTAACCGTTAAATCTAAACCCACAACTGTTTCCGAACACTTTCTCTCTCACCATTCTCACACTGACATGTTAATCCCACTAGGGAAAATTCATTGTTCAAGTGACTCAGTCTGACTCGACTAGCCAGAAGTAAAAAGACCGGGCCTTTAGGCAGAAATTATGTAATCATCGCTTAGATTAGAGATCATTACTTAGATTAGATCTAGAGTGCAAACGAAAAAATTCTTCAAATCCATTTCAAATTAGCATATTTCTCTTTCTTTTTTTAGTTACTAACTTGGAATTGAAACGATAAATACGTTCATTTTATACACTCCCGTAGTTCCCTGGAAAACCGTACCCCATTCCAGACCAAAATGGGCAAAACTTATACCCGTTTTCAGACCTAAAAGGTGTAAAAACCCTACCCGTTGGTGCGGCACATACGTATACCCCAGGTTTATAATTAAGACAAAAATGATATTTATGGAAATAATGAGGCTTTACGATCAGTTAACCAGTTTAAAGCTAAAACAGGCGACAATACTCTTTTCTGAGAGAGCACTTTCAACATTTTTGCACTTAAACTTTAAGCATTCAGCCATTTGAAGTAAACGGAGTTTCACTTTCAAATTCTTGGTATGTTTTCACAGCAAAAAAGATAGAACTATTAATAATTTTTGTTTCCTTCATGTCGCATGAACTGCATACAACGAAAAACACGATCGGGCTGCTTTTAATTGATTCAGTTAAGTTTATGTACTTTAGTTAGTGCTAACTTATAGTTTTATGCTTAACCGACAGTGTTTTATACGGGCGTAGCCAGCCCATCAGACCTGTAGGCCCGAGCCTACAAATTTTTGGTTTGATCACTCTACCTCTTGTAATAAATTATGCGTTGTTAACTAGGGTGAGCTAATATAAAATTGCTTAAGAGCTTAAAGTGTTGGCGAGGTCAGTGCGTACAAGTAATGCGTGAAATTTTCAGGATATGTGGAAATGAAAGTCAGCCAGGCCTACAACTATAACTAGTCGAAAAGCCGGCTACGCCCCTGTAAATTTATATCAGTCCAATTTAGAATTTCCTCGACCCGCAGCTCTATTAAGTCCTACAGTGCTTCTGGCGCGGTGCTTCATAAATGTTAATTCAGGGCTTTCTAGCTTTCCACTAACCAATCACAACCGGCTCTAAACTTCCGCGGGGGTTACCCCTCCCAATCTATCCAACTCAATACGGATTTTTTAATACTTGTGACTTTTCTTCAAACTGTGATCAAACAATCCTCTTGATTCCTGTTATTAACACTATCAGCTTTTCTCTCCTGTCTGTGTAGTTCGAAGTTAATTAACGGTGATCTAGCAAATTCCAGAAATTTTGCCCTTTTTTAAACGACTATAATAATTCTCGTCTAGGATGCATAGTAATCAGGGGTTTTTCCGGTGACGGCCATGCACTATTCTTCTTAGTTAACTGGGTTTTTTCCCAGTTTCGCTTCCATGCACATACCGTGGTACACAAAAGACTGACCTGTTTTTTATGAAATTATTTTACTCTTCATGCCGCGTTGGTAAGCACATTGAACAAGGATTGAAGCTGATTGAAGGTGCTTCTGAACCTCTTAATTTCTTTGTAAGTTCAAGATGCTAAGTTTTATACATTTTATTTTAATTTTTTACTATTATATATTGAACGGTGTTCATGCAGTTGTTCTTTCACGGGTTTAATCTACTCTTTGTTTCACGTTTTGAGTCTGAAGATCGAGGTCCCATGCAGTCTTTTACCCTAGGCCTGGCAAGAGTTTTAAAAATTAGTGTTGTCTTGAATTGTTCTCGGTTCTTTCTTTTCTGAATGAGTCATTTTTCTTCAGAAATAGTCGATCAAACGTTTTTATATTCCGACCTCAAATTAAAGTCAGCGATCATTCAAGATATACCCCTGCTGAAATCATTGCCAGTAGGTTAGCTTGCACAGGAGTCTGATGAATCGTTTACAAGAGACCAGGACTGACGGTATGAAATTATAAAGGGATTTTGCTCATGTGGTTAAGAGATGAAGCCCAGTTTCCTCTGTCATTTCAAAGACTGCTGGATATGAATTTTTAATTATCCGGATCTCCCATAACTCTTTTGAATCCGCCACGGTTACAACGTAATGAGAATCTCACAGAAATATGGTTGTATAGTAACAGGGACACCCAACTTATGTTTCCAACGTGAGATGATGCTTGCCTGTTTGGTTAATTTGGAGCTGCCCTAAGAACTTTTTATCTGTTCAGATGTCTTGGGAACTTTGTTGCCTCTAATTAGTTTTAGGTGGCTTTTTCTATATTCGTGACGGTTATCACGGTCATCACCCGTTTTCGTCTCCTCCGAAACTGTGCCATTAGACAAATGAAACAGTTATCCAGAATTTTATAGCCCTTCCCTAGATCTCTAGGTTTAAAACTGAATCTCTTAATAATATTTGCTCCTTCTAACTGTTATTTTACAGGCCCCGGTTGTTCAAACAATGAAACAATGGATAGCGCTATCCACCGGATAAATCACTTTAGTATATACTAAAACAGTGGATAGTGTTTTTCGAGCGCTCTGATTGGCTACCCAATCAGTGAATATCCTGCACTATTCACTGATTCACCTCCAGTTCCTCAGAGCGAGCAACGCCAAACTCCCGTAAGTTGCGAGCAAAATGCGTTCCCGGTTTTCTGCCGTAAACAAACAAACAAATTTCACAACTAATCAAGCAAGCTGTTTCCGAAATACACGAAGAAGGTGACGAAGTTCGGATTGGAAGTTTTAACAGGTAAAGCTTTGTCTTTTTGACACTAATTTATCGATAAAACTGGTGAAAAAGTTTTTGTTTACAAATGCAAATTAAGTTTAAGTCTTGCTTACTTTATTTAGTTGAGTTGTTCATAAATAAGCTTCAAACTAAATTTAATAATCTTTTTTTATAGAATGATTTTAAATACAGAAAGAATTCACAACTCCTTTTGAAGAAATTTCCCCGCAAGAGCTAAACAAATGCCTTGAAAAGTTTTAATTGTCGGCAAGAATAAAGCGACGGCCGCAGCCGCCCGGTCATTACGCGCCAAAATTGTAATCGTTGGCAACAGTATTTGAGTTAAAAATCATCATTTTTGTGCTCAATGATCTCACTGTTTTAGTATATACTAAAACAATTATTCACCTCAGTGTCGGTGGCTAGTCGTGGATATTTACCTCACTGCTTCGCAGTTCGGTAAATATCCAGGACTAGCCACCTCCACTTCGGTGAATAATTGTTATATATCCAGGGATAGCGTAATTGATTTTGATTTATCCGGTGGATAGCGCTATCCAACGTTTGAACAACCGGGGCCAGATCTAGAAAAAAGTCGTTGGGTACCCCTTATAATAAGTAAATTATATTTAACTTTAAAAATTAATTTTACTACTATGCAACTAATGTCTGACCTGTTTTGTTGTACCGGTAGATCCTACAAGTTTCCAGCAGCGGGTCAACAGGGACCCTTCCCCCAAATTAGGGGAAGGGTGTAACTACTATTAGCATAAAACATGATTGGTGAGTCGATTTACACAGACGAGCAGTTGAACTACAACAAGTTTTCAACCCTTGTGGTCGATGAATTCTCGAAAGCTCTACGCCAGACATTCAAACACATGTGGGACAATGTCGGACCGGGACCGATCTGGGATGACTCTGAAGTTGTTCGAAACTTGTTTCTGGCAATGGAGGGAAGCAACACCAGAGTTCCCAGAAATAAGTCGTATAATAAGTGGGATTGCACCGCACTGTTTCAAGCCACAATCTACGCAAAAATCTTCTCTTCACCGGACAGCAAAGGTAACCTTAAAACACTCAGTGAGATGTACGTGAAGCCCCGTGGGTTCATGCCTGAAGGAAGTTTCCACACCTCTGTGTTAAGTCCAGTTGGAAACGATGCGGAAACGTTCGCCGTTGCGATTGATCAGTTGCGACTCCTTCGAAATTTCCTTTTTCATACCGTTAGTTCAAAGATGGATAAAACAACATTTGATCGGTACATTGAACTAGCTAAAGACGCGTTCAAAGCTCTTGGAGTGGCGACAAACTCGATTGATGCCGTTGCAAGTTTGGACGAATCCCATTTTCCTACTGAAGAAGTTGCTCGGTTAAAGCGCATTATCTGCCTCATGGCAGTTGGTACTGGAGTTTTATTTGATTAGGCCGATTTAGATGGCACGACTGCTTTTTTGGCGAGAGTCTGAATGGGGGGATGTGGGTGTTCTTAACAATCCGTTGAAAAATTCATTTACTCTCTCAGTCAGGTTGATTAACCTTTGTCAGTTGTTGGATCATTCCATACATATTCCTAATGACATCCCCACAATGTCGGCTTGTTTTACACTTGATATTGATATTTTCTGTCAGTAATTGGCAATTTTTCCTCTTTTTTAGAAGGTCAGTCATATTTTCCGTGGTTTATCTTGGTTAACCAGCCTGCACCGCTAGCGGTCTATATTTGTCGATATATCTCTCTTAACCCCATTCAGACTGTCCAAATTCACCGGGCGGATCTTTCACTGCATTCTTGCCATGTGTATTGTCTAGAACAACTTCCCGATGGGGTTTACAATGAAGACCACATTGTTTTTTCAAAGAATTTTGAATAGACTGTTTCAGGTTTGTATTTAAAAATACACGCATGACAAATATTTCGAAACATTCAACTGACGGAAACAAACTTCAACTACACTTCAGTTTCATAGGAGGTATGTTCTTGGTCTAAAATATACCATGAGGGGCTATACATATAAGCCCCAGCCTTGTAATATTTGTTCTGAATAGGCCACTTCCGAGTTACAAAAACCCTCACTTTCAAAATGAGGCCAAGTGCACAACCTTTCTTGTGAAAATGAGTTTTATTTGCATGTAAATGAAAATCATCTCCATATCAAAGGCTGAGCACTTAACCTCGTTTGGGTACAGAGGCTCGGGGGAACTCGAAAATGGCCTATTGATTCCATCATAGCTTTCTAGCAAATTACCATGCTTGATACACTTAATATTGTGAAAGACCGTACGTTTTTAATTATTTGACGAGTCACTGCCGATCGCGTGAGTCAGCCTCACCTCACCTCTTCAGTGTTCATGCCCAATGATGCCAAATAGGCAATAATTTATCACAATGTATACATTAGATTCATTGAAAACCGCCTTGGTGAGAGGGCTCGCTGAATATAAGCAGTTGAGCCACTAAGTCGGCCCTTAAGCAACTGGTAGTATACCGATTAAGGTACGTACTGTCGTGAACCGGGGTCAGGAGCCCACATCGCTCCGGGTACTGTCTCCTCTGTTGTCAAAGATATCAAGAAGGAACTAATGATGATGATGATGGTAATGATGTTGATGATGATAATGATGACTGATGATGTTGATGACGACGAATATTTATCTATTTACTTCCAAGTCTTTCTACTACTGACGTTGCTTAAAACTATAAAAACATATCATATATCAATACAAAACGTAATGAGTAAAAGTACGCGGTTTGAAACCAGCATTTTGGTGCATTGTTAAAAGTAGAACAGAGTAGGATAGAAAAGGACAAAAGAGAATGCGAATGAGTAGAATGGACTAGAACTAGAAACTCAGCCTATAATATATCACGAGAGCAGTTAGAATGTTAAAACAATAAAAAGGGGCTGTCGAGACCTATATAAAAGACAATAGAAAAAATATATTTTACCGTTTAGCTTCTGTCCGTATCATCGGGATGTATCCACGGCGTAACGGGATAACAAGGTGTGCGCAAAGCGAGAGCTGCCTGTATTCTTTTTACAAGAGTCAATTTTGCCAGGGATTTTTTTCTACTTTTGCCAAGGATTTTAGCCCGGGGGGGTACTTTAGGAATTTCTGGGTGGGGATGTGCCGCTGGGACCCTGGAACCCTTGACCTATACCAGAGATAGTTCAGCTTAATTTTGCTGCCCTATACTAGAGTAAACTCCCAAAATCCCCCCTATCTTAGTTTAGTTGTTTCCCCAGTCTAGATAAAATCTTCAACCAACTGATCATTTTCCTGAAAAATGATACCCTATTCTAGACCCAAACGCTCTGATTTATATACCCTATCCTAGAGTAAACTGCTTAAAAACCATACCCTTCACAGCGGCACATACCCATATAGCCCATATATGGCAGTACCCCCCCCCCCGGGGATTTTAGCCACTGTCCGTATCAGTACCGGGATGTATCCAGCGTAATAACAGGGTGTGCGAAAGGCGAGAGTGCCTGTGTTCTTATTACAATTGATTTAATTGGGCAGACCTTAAGCACCGAGTGAAAATGTTGATATGCCGACGGTACGTAAGTAACTTGGAGTTTTATTAAAAGTAGTTGTAGTTTTCAAGTGCTTTTGGTAAATAAAATCCTTAATCAAAAGATGTTGACCTTTTGTTGGCTATTCTGTACGTTTGTACAAGGGTGTAGATATCAAGCGGCGGCGGGTACATTTATCGACTTTGGAGTGTTCGTTTGCCGCAGCTTAATAGGAAGGCTATTCCAAAGAACTAGCACAGAAACGCTCACTGCGCAGGCCACTACATGCAAGAACGTTCTAGCCTCCCACGCAGACGTGCTTGGTTATCGTCATGCGTTCCTGCCCCACCAGAGAGGATTGCGTGACGAGCCAAAAAAACGTATGTGTGGGAGGCTAAGAACGTTCATATTCATATGAAACCTTTCGCAAAATTTTATCAGAGCCGTAATTCCTCAAAGCAAAACATTTTGTTTAATCAGCTTTACTGGCCACAGTCCTCCCCAATGAGGTTGGGTGCGAAAGGGACTCATAGACCCATGGAAGGTGTCCCTCTCTACCGCCCACGAACCATGACCGATAGATACTACGTGTGGACACTACCAGGGGCTTTCAAGTCCTCAGTAGTTTTACACCTAACCAGAGTTACATTAGAGAAGTCATGTTGTCAGAAAGTTTTTCGTCTTGTAAAATTGTACAATGTTTAATATATGTTTTTAATATGTGAAACAAAGGCAGGTTTGCATTCTACTTAGGGTGCGTTCGATATTGATTATGTTCCGTATTAAGAATACATGATGCCTGGGATAAATTAAACTATAGAAAAATCACGTTTTCGCTTTCATAGGGCTGTAAATTAATCTGGTGGAAATTAATAAGATAAATGTAGTTTTCCAGTGGTCCGAAAAATTTGCGGTCGAAGAGATTTAATACAAATTTCTGACCAATCGAACGCACCCTTAGTCACTCTAAGACCCTGGGTGTTGTCAGTTCGGGAATTGAACCCGGGTTTATCGTTCTGATGCTTAACCAACCCTAAGGGGGGAAAGATCAATTTTAAGCTCGCTGTTCGATCACTGACTTTGCATCTAAGAACAAACGCAGAGTCAACAGTGAACTCAAAATCCTTATACATGATTCGCGCTAAACTTTTATTTTTTAGCCTGTTAGGATCGAAGACAAACCGCTGTTAAGGTACTTCAGAGTTTATTTAGAACTGTTCAAAACTATTCGCGTTCCTTCTTGCTATAAGAAATACATTATTAATCTATAAATTACCCTTTACATTTGTTAAAAAATTACACAGTCATCAAAGGTCTATGAACTACAAAAAAGTGGATGAAAATGATAAGAAAACAACAACAACCATGATGATGATAATAATAATAATAATAATAACAATGATAATGATAATAATCAGAAGCTTTTTACCCAGAATGAGCATCTTCATTGCTAAAGCGTTTTTTATTTAACAAGTTCATTCTTTTAGATTAGTTTTCACCCGAAAATACGGCAACTACTGGTCTGAAAGTTTGTACAGTAGTATCAATAAGAAAAGAAAACATAACGTTAATCATATATTCTTGAGTATCACGCACGTATGTTCGCTCATTTGAAAAATTCACGTCTTGTCTGCTTTAACGAGCTTTTCCGTTGCCAAAAACTGCTTAAAGTCTATCTTACTCAAAAAGCTTTGGAAAAAAAAAAGAGGAACGAGACTCACCCAATCCCTTTTCTTTAATCGAGTTGTTTTGCCAAATTGTTCCCTGGGATAAGAACTCGACTGATTTTTAGAGAAAAAAAAGGCGGGTGGATGTTTTATGATTTTTCTTGTTTGCCATCAAGCAATTGCATGTCGTTCATAGATATTAGAGAGTATATTTTCTGTGTTGGTAACTAGTGTTTCTTCGCACAGTTGAAACCCAGGCTTGCAACCAGGAGCTGAGGTGAACAGTAATTCGCGTTCCATGCACTTGATTGCGAGGGCCAAATATTTATCTCTTGTGCTTGCCATGGGCCTGCTCTTATAAAGCCGTTATTCACTAATGTACAAAACCAAATAAGTTCCCATGAGAAGACCAAATGAAGAGAGAATGTGCCACAAATCGTGGTAGTCAAAAAAACCCACTAATATGCAGTCGTGGTTCAGATCACGTGATAATCCAGGAGACTTTGTCTTATCACTCGTCGCCTTAGCACTGAAAATCCAGACTGCAGTTCCGAAAACCCCTAGCGTGACTAGCACATACAATCCTTGGAAAACAAGATAGGCTATTTTCTGCATGCTCCAATGGGTTTTATCGCTTTTCCAGAATTTAATCCCAACTTGGCCAAAAATGGCAAGCAAGGATGTTATGATACAGCTAAACAAAAAGATTTCAGGGAAATTTTTTTCGAACTCTAGCGGAAGAGCGATAGCAACCAGCATAAAGACTAGGATGAAAAAGGCAGCCTTGGTTAAAGCATCGCACTTTCTCAAGTCGCTCAAGCTCGATACGTCGTAAAACAGCTTTCTGGCCGCCCACAAAAAGATAAGAAGTAAATATATCACCAGAAAAATTATGAACAAAATTTCCATGGCCGAGCTTAGACTGTCTTCGTAATAGAGTGACCCTAAATAATTAAACACATATAAAGGAACTATAAAATAAAGAAAATAACTAGTTGCCTCGACAGGCATTTTCATCTCCCCATCAGCTGTACACGCCTTAAAGCTAAGGCCATTGTACAATGACAGAACAATTAAACCCGCAATGACAAACATAAAAGCTGTATCGAACTGAAAAGTCAACTTTGTAGGGCAAAAATGATACAGCGTTGAAAAGCAACCTTCAAATATTAGTGCCCACGCAAAGGAATAACCGAGAGAAAAATTGAATTTTCTTTTGTGGGCTTTCGCGTGCAGCAAGGTGGCTTCATCAGGGTTGGTTCGACATTGAGGGACGGACATTTTTGCCAGATGAACCTCGATGTACGGACATTTCAAACAGTGGTCGGGAAGTTCAACTTGGCCTTCCGGTAATCGTGTTCGTGTTTTCGCGTTACGCGCGTGTCTTTTACACCAGGCTAATAACTCGGCTTCCATTACCCACACAGACCACGCTAAAATTAAGCCGTGGATCATGTACGCAAGATTACTAATCATCAGATTAAATGGAATGTCATAGCCACTGACTCTATAGCAAAAGTCATTGTAAAAACACATATCGCGGTCGCCATCATCAATCATCGATTTCCAGTCTTCAAAGACAAATTGGAAAGCCCCAACCATTAGAACGAATCCAACGATGCAGGTGATGTAGGAAAAGGTCTTGGGACCGCGGACGAACCAGTGTCCAAACAAAACTTCCTTCATAGCAACGAATAGTTCTGTCCATTTTAGTGGTTGTCTGTAGGGAGTTCCACGTATCAGTGGTGTTAATTCATTGGCTCCTTCGTTTCTTTTCCAACAACTAGAAAACAGGCTTCTTAGATTATTTTTAAAGGTCGACGATGCAATGGAGGACGACGAATAACTTGAGCCGCTTTCGACAGGACTATCATCTTGTACAAGAATATAGGGGTCTCGAAAACACAACAACGCCCACAGGGAGACGAAGATTCCCCCGAAGAGAGATAAACTTATCAGGAAATAAAATGGCTTACCATAATCATAGTCGAAGGAGCTTTTTAGTGTTAATGCTACATTCTTCAGTTTAGATGTATCGTTGCGCTTAAGAGCGACTCCAATAAACCACATGTCTCCCGAGTCTTCAAGCCGAGGACTTGATGCTTTTGATAAAGTGATTCGCCCCTTTTTGGCAAATGTGAGCCGTATTGATGTTTTGTCGTAATCCAGATGCCTTATGTTATTTACTACGCTATCACAGTTGTGAGACACTTTTAGGTAAGCCGAGGTATCGGTGTTCGACTCTACAGTAACATCGAGTTGTCGTTTGGAAATTCCGGGTGTTGGCTGAAACTGGAACACCGTTGACGTTCCCTTGGCTTCGAAAGTCTCCACTTGGTTCAATTTTATCGTCGTCACGTTGTCAGATATTTCGGCTGAATATTTCAGGTTTGGTGTTCCCGTGAAAAGAACGAGATACTTACGGCTGGATTTCTGTGGACAGGCAGTCAATGTGCTTCCAGATCCGTTTACAGGTACATACAGATGACCTAAAGAGGAATCTGTTGCTCCAAACACGGATACACGAAGGGATCCTGTTTTTAACAAAATAATTAAACTAATTAATAATTAACCAAAAAATCATAAATAAATAAATCCGCACGACGAGAAAAGGCAAAAAAAAACAAAAAAAAAAACAGCATAGCCAGATAGACACTTCTCGCGAGGTAGTTATTTCTTTGAGATGTCCGAAATTTATTCGATTAGCATATATTTTTTGTCGTTTCACGAACCAAACGCGAGTCCGAGTGAAACACCAGCCAAGAAGCCAAACACAAGTCAGCCTCCATTAAAGCCCTAATATTTCCCCATTTCTGAGATTTATGGCCACAGAAAAGCAATTCTATAGAGACGTCGTTCCTCGGGAAAGGTTTCGTCTGCCTCGTACCCAGTTGCTCGCGATCACTTTTTGAGGGACATTTGAGTTAATTATTAAGTGAAGCGGGGACAAAGGGAATCACTCCCCGCACGCGCTCCCCGCACGCGCTCCCCGCACGCGCTCTACACTCGTTCCCATCATCCCCCTCTCGCGCTTCTCGCTTGTCTCCAGGTCTCGCGTGTAGTTTCTCGCCGTTCCCCACTGAGCCTTGGGAAAGCGCAAAGCCTTCTCGGGCTGCCGCCCTCGTTTCGCGCGTCTCGCGGCTTCGCCGCTCCCGCGCGCGTGCATTGCTCTCACTAAATCTGAAGAAAAATAGAGACTGCTCGCAGTCTATTTCCCCCTTAAAAGGGAGGAGTGTTGCGGGACGAGACGAAAACGGCTGCGAGGTCACTGAAGCAAACTCATGTCACGCGAACCCCGAATTGTCGCGTGTCACACTGTACTTTAACACTGACAGTGAAAGCGAAAGTTTTCCGGATTACTCAGCACAAAAATCATCCAGACGTCTCTCTTTAAAGACGCCATACTTAAAATCAATAGATAATGGTAATCAAATCAAACAGAATATGAGTGGTGGTGGCAACGTTGGTATCAACAAGTTTATCATGCCCGGGGTTATAAATAGATGTGAATAAATCAGTACATTATCCGAACGTTAACTTTCCAATCAACCATGCAAGGAAACAGTGATTAAGCCGATACAATATAAGGTATACAAAGGCTATACTAAACAGAGCAAAGCAAAGGTGTCGCCTGATTAGCAAGCGTTTTCACTCAAGTGTAAAAATGCGCCTTAACTCGCGCGGAAACGCAAGCAGTTGCGTTCGCTTGTGATTCTTTCCGCGTTCTGAAAATCTTTGATTCTCGTGACACAAAGGTTAATTTCAAACATCATAACTATCGCCTTTATTGAGAAAAATAGAGACTTACCAGATATTTCACCGAGGGCGTTCGTCTTGACTCGCAGAAAACTGTCACTGCGGGCTGCTGTTACAATGCACGAATGAGAGCTGGCTCTCGAAGCAGGAAGCTGCTGAGAAAGTAGAATCGATGACGAGGAGGAGGATAGATTTCGTTTGACCAGTCCTGTCCCATCGAAATTGCATTCGTGAACTAGGCCTACACTTAATAAAGGCCAAACCAAGCAGAGAAGCTGCCAAAAAGCAGAGCGAAACATCCTAAACAAAGAAACTGCATGAAACAAGTTCAATTTATATATTGTGTAACAAAATTCCCAGTCATCATGTGACCACATAAAAATAAGGCACTACGTCAGCGTTTCAATTTTCTTTCCGTTTTTCTGGGAACCGTCAGCAAATTCGTGAGCTTTTGGTGTTTTATTGGCACTTCTCATTTTCCACGTATGAAGTAAGTTACTATTAACGCATATCAATATGTTAGAAGACACGTGCAGACATTAGTGTAGTCATGATGTTTGAGTGTTTCGATATGAGGTAATCATTTATAGACAGTCTTTATAAAAAAAAAACCTCTACAGCACTCCAGTATTTTGCATAGCACCATGCATTTGTTCGTGAGTACTTCACGAGATTAAAGCGGACTTTTTGTTTGTGGATACCTAGCCTGGTAGTGAACGAATCTAAAAAGCAGCGCTTGTCATAAGTGTCACGCACATCAGTAGGGTAACTGAAAAAGCTTTCAGCCAAACACTTGTCACTTTCGCATGACTCTGACGTAGGAATTTGTTATTTATAATTTTTTTTTCTACCAGTTTGAAAAGGAAATTCGATTTTTTAAAAAAGTGCCTGAGCAACCGCTTATTCAAAATTTTAGCTGACAAGCCTGAACTGGGGGGTGAATTTGCATTCAATGAAACAGGAGCACCCACAAACACTTTTCAGGCTACCCAGGCCAGAGTACTTTTAGATCTCTAGAAATGTATTCTAAGTGGTGCTAAAAAAATTATCTCTGTTCGGTCATCAGGGCAACTTGAGTCTTTTCGAACTATTACAAGGGCTTCAGTATTATTTTCCCGAAAATTTTAGCTGTAATTTACTTTACAAAAGTAATAATTTTTCTGATTCGTCTCTGCACCCCATTTTCGATTCCGAAAATTTTAGGTTTCCATTCTCTACGAAAAATAGCTTAACCTGGGTAGTGAAATGGGAAAAATTAAACTTCAGAAATTCTGAAAATCGCAGGGAATTTATTAGATAAGCTTCGAAATTATGCATGAATGGAACGGTCATTTACTGAAATTTTTAGCCTTCCTCAAGCTATAGAAAATTCTAGGTAATTTTTGCTTCTCCGAACCTAGCGACGGGTGGTAGCCTTTACACAGCACTCGTGTCTTGCTGTGGCTTTGTCAGCCGAAGTGATCAAAGTCAAAACTAGTGAATTCAGCAACAATTCATTACTTTAATACCGCAAAGGAATTCACAGGGAGCAGAGGATTGTAGGTAACTTGAGAGCCCGCTCTTGCTACAGCTGTAGCGCTCGTTCTGTTTCGAAAATATTAGAGATCCAGACCTTCTGATTGAATGCGACTACGAGGGCGAGTAAAGTTTTTTTTCGCGTATTCCCCGGCTCAAAAAATAGACAACCCCAGAAAGCTTTATGTCAGTCCTTTTCATTAGAAACGTTAACACGGTTAATTTCAATGAAGGAGAGGGTTACGCCCTCTCCCATTCACAAAATAAAACTTCGAACATAAATGGATAATTTGAATAAACTGAATAAAGTAAGTGAGTTGAATGGATTAAGTGAACTGAATTAACTGAATGAATTGAATGAACTGAATCGATTAAATTGAATGAACTGATCTATAGATTGAATTCAGTGAATTCAATGAATTCAATGAACTGAACTAAATGAATTGAATGAATAGAATAGACTGAATGGATTAAGTAAGAGAATTAGACAAATTAAATGAACGAAATGAAGTGAATGAATAGAATGAATTGTTTGAGTAGAATGAATGAATAGAGCAAATTGAATGAACTGAATAAATGAACAGGAATGAATTGAATTGAACGAACTGAAATGAATAGAATGAATTGAATAAATTGAGGGAATTGAATGAAGTGAGCGATTTCAATGAATTCAATTGAACTGACTGAGCTCAATGAATTAATTGAGTGAATTGAATGAACTACATGAACTGAACGAATCGCGAGAATTGAATGAATTGAATCTGATTGAGATCCTTTGGGTGAAGTGAATCAGAATGAACTGAATGAAGTGTGTAACAGAGATGTTTATGGTACGATGGTTTTACGATTCCGCCCAACCATCCGGATAGTGCCGCAAATTTATAGGCAAAAACACAATGGAATACTTACCAACCAATGAGAAAGAGGTTGACGTCATGGATTAACCAATTTTGGAGAGCTTACGTATTGACCATTTATCGATTCAACTTAAGTTTATAAAACAAAACAAAAAGAAACAAAACAAAGTTCGATTACATTAACAACCAAAACATAATTGTTATTTCGTGGTTAAGCGCAGTTATTTGAAGGAGTTAAAAAGGTGTGTGATTTAAGGATCATCAAGTTGCAACCGTAATCCAATTTTTTTCCTTCGAAGGAAAGATTAGTACAAACCTTAATATACTGAGCGCAAACCACTGTATTGAAGAAAACTTCACCGTACGGCTTACGGTGTCGCATCGACTATCATTCACACAACAACATTTTTGTATTTGAACAAATTACCAGGAGCCGATTCCCGGCTCCCGAAATACCTAGTGAGTTGTTTACCCGTACATAGCGTGGGTGCTCTCAATGGTTTGAAGATCAACTCTGACATAAACACATGCAGCATAAACCTTCATCTTCTAAGACTTAAGTTTATATTTCTTTGAAAGTAGTGTATTTATGCTAATGACAGTTTGGGAGCCCGAGGTTTTCAAAAGATCGGAAAAAGAAACAATTGGTCTTTTGTTTAAAGCAAACATAGAAGCGCATGCATTTACGATAACCTTGGATTTAGGAGAAGCCTGAGTAAGAAATAGGAAAAAAACGCTGTATCAGACCCAATGAAACCTACCCAGTGGTTCAATTCGGTCTAAAAATAAATAAATAAATAAAACTAATAAATAAATACTTAATTATCCACTCCCCTGATGGGGCTTTTCAGGGATAATGAAACAAATAACTTAAATGAAACATAATATGGTTAAGAATCCCAACTGGTTAAACTACGAGTAGCCTCATTTCTCCCCATGCACGATCAGGGATAGTCAGGAAGCCTATAACCCGGAGCGTCTAACTTCCATACTGCGCCTATGCAACGGCGTTTTCACAAGTAGGTCTATTTTTAGATAAGCCTTTCCCGCGAATTGCTTTCGAAAAGCCAATCACTAGCAATTGCGTCATCAATGATGCTCCTGGGATAGTAGAGAGCGCGCGTGAAAATCACCCCCGCGAGAAAAGGTGTGACTTTCACGCGCGCTCGCGTTTCTCTTACTCTACTATCCCTGAGGAAAAATGAGGGACTACTCGTAGTCTAGCAACTGGTAGGAGGCGAACCAGTTGCTTTTTACAAGCTTCAGGGCGGTACTTGAACTCGGGGCCTCGGATTACAAGTCCAGGGCCGGGTTGTTCAAAGCTGGGTTAAGATAACCCAGGGTTAGTGCCGGAGATTTGAATTCAGATTTGAAAGCTTAAAAAGCATTTCAGTTTTAATTCTTTTTGTCTACAAGTTGATGATGGCAAGCTCAGTAAATAAACAGAGAAAATTACCCGAGAAAATGCTTTTGAACACAAGGAAAAGAAATCAGGGTTAAATTTAACCCCGGGTTAAGCGCGAATCGGCCTTCGAACAACTGGGCCCAGCCCTTTAACCGCTCAGCCACGCTACCTCCATTTTGGTCAACCCAGTCATAATTTAGCCTCCCCGACTGGCGAATAGCTTGTTTCTACTCCGCTAATCTTTGCTTCCCCGGTCACTTTCTATTGTGACTCCTATAAAAACCATGCAGTGTATTTTGTTATATTATATTTGTTAATAAGAATAAAAAATAAAGAACATTGTTACCATTGACAAAAAAAATTGGAGGGTGCCGACGGTGATCGAGCTCGCTTAAAAAAAGTATAAATCTTTCTGTTCACTCAGTCGCAAGAGCACTAAATACCAAATTTTAAAATTAAAGCTGTCAGGAGTAAAACATTAAGCTGATCCTTATGGCAGAAAGAGTCAAAGAAAATTGAAAGAAAAGAAAAAAAAAAAACGAGAAATGGAGGTATTGAATAAATCGGAATTGACCCTCACTGGTTTGTCGATGTGGTTTTGTCCTCACAAGTGTTTCTGATACAGCGTAAAAGGTTTCACAAAGGTCAGAAAGGTTTCATACCGGTAAAGATGTGAGGCCTGCCACCCCTTTATTAAGCTTTTATGGGACTATACAAATTCAAAAAACCCACTGGGAAATAAACCAACCAGGTGACGTTTACTCCGAGAACCCGGTGAAGAGACAGATTCCACTGGGTCCGTTACAGACCGGTGTTCAGGAGGTAAGACACATGCAACAACACCAACAACACACACAACACACAATACTTTAAGGTTACAGTTATTCCTAAACAGGCTGAAAACATTTTAGCCAAAATAGGAGTTTGACTTGGGATTTCAAATTTTATCACCTATCCTTAGTTTATTTGAACACGATAAAACTTAAAATATAATGCCGTTTGGGGTCGTGCAAGGGACAGTTTATTCATTCAGTTTTGGTAGTCAACAAAAGTTCATAAATAAGAACATCATATGTACTGAGCCTAACTTGCCAATAACTACCCCGATATATAAAAACGGGTTTTTACTGTATGCGCGGTCAGACATGACGGTAAAAGCAAGGAGAACCTGAGCACTGCTTGATCTGCAGCAGAACTGCATTTCAAATTTAGTGTGGACAGGACTCCTGGACCCCTGTCGCTCACTTTTAATAAATAAGTCTTTCTGTCTGAGTTGTACTGGAAAATTAAAAAAGGTCGGAGAATCATCTTGTCAAGTGAACCTCTCTATAGGTATTTCCGACGAAATCGAAGTCGCGGTGATCGCTTTTGATGAAAACAAGACGATCTTAAGTTTCAAGTTTATTTCCATTTTAATCACTGGTACATGTTATCAAACTAATTATTATTAAGAAATAGAGGAGGACTACAGAAACCCTTGCAGGCTTTTACAGGGTAGTCCCCCTTTAAATTACCTTAATATATTTCTTTAATATATTTGGTATCAGGGATTATCAAAAATTACTTGTATTACACTATTTGAAATAAGCATACAAAAATAGCAACCTAGAACTAAGCCTTGATTACAATAGTTATTCTGATAATAAAAACTGTTTGATCTTTTTCCTAAATATATTTATTAATTGAAACAGACTGTTTTATTTTACCTGGGATAGTATTCCATATGCCAATTGCTTTATTTCTAGTCGAATAAACACCTAAATTTGTCCTCTTAAACTTTTTGTGTAGATTTTTTTTCTTGTATAGTCGTTTATGCCGTTCAGTATTTTCTGTACAAAAATCATTAAAATACACTGGAAGAGATTTTGTTCTAAGTTCATAAGAGAATGTATCTACAAGAAAATCATTAATTTGATAGATGTACTATACGTGTCAATGCCTGTTTTGCAGTTTTTAACAATTTTTCTAGTCTTGAACGGATAGTTAAGTTGTTTCCCCAAACTATGTTACCATAATGGAGATATGGATAAATCAAGCTATTAAAAAAAGTGGCTGATCGACAAAGAAGCGAATTCTACAGTGTTTTCCCATAATTTTAAAGATTTTTGTTACAATATAATCAATACTGATGACTTATGATATGATGTTAAATGCTGATCGATTATTATGCCAATAAATTTTGTCTTATCTACTTTTTGAATTTCCTGATTGCTTAATTTAATAGTCATATTTGTTATTAGAGGTACAAGTAACAATCGCATTGCTGTTCCGATCAATTTTTCTAAAGTTTGACAACGTATGTAAGCAGAGGACCCGTAAGTCGTGCGATCTGCCAAATTAAAAGAGTGCTGTACGAGAGAGTTTTTGTTTTCAGTTGTTTTGTCATTTCTCGTTCCGTCGTCGTCGTCGTGGTTGATCAAGCTCTCCATTATCATTATCACGCAAAACAATTCTTGATATGCGACAATTTCTTTAAAACCGACGATTTGATGGAAAAACGTGTGACGAAAACGACGACCGCTGCAGCCAACTTTACAAAGGATCACTTGTGAACTCATTGGGTCAAAGACCCGACACGAAACCGAAACTTTTGCAGGGGGATTGCAACAGCCGTCATTCTTTAGTTATATATTCATTTTTATTCGAATTCAAATTCATAGGTTAACTTCCTTCCAGTCTTCCCGACTGTTAAATCAGCCTATCTTCTTGTGTTTCTATATTTCCACTTATAGCTGATTAGATCTTTTATTAGGATTCGGTCCTTCTTTATTGTAACAGTCAGTCCTTGCTTCCAAAATTGAATCAGAAAACCCAGCCGACAGAGGCTGAGAGACTCTTGAGACGAAAGAGCAAAATTATCTTTTTAAATCAAATAAATAAATAACAGCAGGAAGGAGCGAATTTAGCAATGTTAGTCCGACATTCCTGCTTCTTACTTAGACATGCTTAGAACTTTACTTGCCCGCATGGGAAAGGAGCTCAAAAAAGAATGGACGCTATCTCATTTCGCGTTCTCGCGCGTCTGCCACGCAGGTTGATTACACTGTCACTTGTCTAGTTAATTTTTTACTTATCTTAGGAACAAGAAAGGTGATGATAAAAAAAACAAGTCAATTCAAGCTGAGTTAGTGATAGATCGCGTCAAGTTTCACTAGAGAATAATAGAAGGAGTGGTTAATTGGTATTTTGTTTATTTGAGTTGCACATTCCCCATTGGTTGATAATTATAATCAAATAGTCAATATAAATGGCTTATCTGTTTGCTCTCTCAAGTAAACTTGACAATTGATATAATCAAGATATCCCCTTTCTTCTACAAAGTTCACCACACAAGAAATTCTAAGACAATGGATACGCTAAGGAACATTCGCTTGCTATTTTACGTTTGGGTTGCTCTTCTACTTCACGAATTTACTGCAGAGACATTCATTGACGAGGAAGCCTCATTTCTCCAATGTAAAAAGTGGGACATGTCCGTAAATCGAGCGCTAAGATTTCGGTTTAAGACTTTTCTGTCCAACGCGCTTCTTCTGTACATGGATGACCAAGGAAAGACAAATTTTTTGCGCGTTGAATTGAGCTATGGAAAGCTCTTGTTAACCGTTAAACACGGACCGAGATTTAAAGCAATGTCGGTGGACGTCGGGGAAAATTTGAACGATTTACTGTGGCATCAAGTGCTGTTAGAGAGAAGCAAAGGGAAGATGACAGTCACACTGGATCGCAGTGAGAGCAGCTTTATTAGCAGTCGCGAAAAGACAAGCTTTACGATTATAAGCCCGATATATTTTGGCGGACTGCCGCCCGGACTGAACAGCGTAACTGAGCCATCGGTTAAACTTTTGAACAGATTTGTAGGATGTGTTATGTATATGGAGATGCTTGAGGACACGGCTGGGCAAGAGAAAATAACCAAGGTGGTCGTGGAGAACTCGAACAAAGTAGCTGCCGGATGCACTAACATGTGCCATGAAAATAACAGATGCCAAAACAACGGCAGATGTTTGAACAAATTCACCGCAACTGCTTGCGATTGCACGGCTACAGGATTCAGAGGGAGAACTTGCGATGAAGGTATCTAGTCTCAATCCCTAATCTACACAATATTTATCAATACAATAAGACAATAGGCACCCAATTACAAACATACTACAGCCTCGTCAAGTTCGTCGATAAGACGAACCAAATAACAAAGTCCACGATATAACGAAAGATTTTCTTTACCCCAGTAATAGTAAAATATATCAAAATTAACCTCGATATAACGCTAGCGAACATACGCATTTTGCCAGTCCCTTGGCCGTAACGTTATATCGAGGTTTCACTCGCCTTCAGCAGTAACAAGAAACCCCTGGGATAACAACTGCGAACAGTGTTGCGTTTCCTTCGGTTGTTTCTTAGGGCTGTCCTGCTTTGTGATTTAGCTTAAGAATACAGCCACCTTTCATCGCTTCCCGTCTTTAACTATTCGTCATGGTTAAATCACAAAATAAGAATCAATTATCACTTTCCAGTTTCATTAGTCGATGGTTTTCAACGTTAACTGAAGCGTTCGTATGCATTGAACTTAAACGTACTAATTATCTCAACTGAACGATCTATAGTCGATCTACGGAAGAAACATTATGATGTACTATGGTTGCGCCCAGATCGCGTTTCAGTATTATTTCATAAGCTATAACTGCATGTAAAGACTCTTGCATAACCACTAAATAACCTCGACATTTTTAAAAGGGAGAATTTTCACTTCGACCGTATTTCCGGAACAACTCCTTCAGCCATTAATCGTGGCGCATGACGCGACGATACAATTCAGATGCATGAAGCTTTGACATTGCTACTTAGCAATGACAGCTTTAATTTTGGACAAAGTAAAAAAATTATAAAAGAAAAACTGAAAGATAAAAACTGACAAATATTATAACATGTGTGACGAGAGAATAGTGACTTGTGATGTTTATTCGACCTCACAAGCTGCGAATTATCAGTGCAAAGTTCGATTTTCGGATGTTCACCGTTAACTTACCAACCAGATTATATCTTTTTGAGATGGGAAATTCAGTTTACTTCCTCACTAGATACATTCTAGTATGATAGAGAGCTGGCCGGAAGCCATGATAATACAAATTAATTTGTTTCCACGCTACAATAGAAACAGACGATTAGAAAATCACGCCACCCTAATAGCTTCCACGTGTTATTTTGATACCTCTAAAAAATTCATCACTTCAACACAGAGTCGTTCATAAGCCCCCCAAAATTTGATTATCTGTTTTACATTGCTAAGTCAAACCCTCAACGTTGTGCAGTTGATTTTTAAAAGTACTACCGTAAGATAAAACGCTGAAACTTCTGAAAACGGTAGTAACAAGTCAAGAGTCAAGAGAAGATCGAGTAAATGCGGTAAAACTAAAAGGATGCTTGATGAAAACTCTCACGGTCATCTTGTCTCATTTATTTGTTTTTCTTTTTTTTTAACACTAAGACAGACAGCCCTGGCAGCTTCAAGACAAGTCGTGGCTTTGTTAGGCTTAGTTCAACAACGTAAATCCAGCGGAGTTTGTCCCAAGCGAACTCCAGTTGAAAAAAGTCAGTGGAAGCAGGGTTGTAAAGAGTCTACACATAAACCACGGTCACATAAAAATACTCTAGAAAAAATGCACTGTATGTATCGATCAGCAGGAAGCGATATTAGGCGATATTGAGTTATCCTTTCAGCGCAGTCTATGCTTCACTATTCAAACGTATTTGTCTGTCTTTTTGAAACTCAATTTACCGATACAATATAAAAATTAAATTATATATAAATAATGATTACAAAAGCTCATATTCTTTGCCCTATAAATAAATAAAACATGCAAAACTTTCTCTATAAAGCTGGCCCCTTAAAAAGAATTCCTTTTTTTTTTGGCTTAAAAAAATGTCAATAAATTTCTCCTTTGGTACTAGTCGATATATTAGGCTGATTAAAAGTGCCGGCGTTATTGCCGTATAAATGTTAACCCTGCAATTCATACAGCTTATTTGCACTTTTTAAATTATTGTCATCCGGTAGGATAATCAATACGAGATCCAAAAACACTTAGAAGAACCGTCTGAGGTTTGCTCAGCGTTATATATGGTTCCCCACATTCAAAGTAATTATATTCATCGTTGACAGAGTGGAGATTCTTCTGTTGGGACAACATATAACCGTGATCGGGCTACAACCTTATTGCACGAACCATACGTACTCAATGAAGTTATAATCATTCTTGGATATATTGTAGCTGTCTTGTCGTGCTGAAATAATTGCCTTCGGCTTTTGCTTCACTGTTCGGTCAAAAACCTCGCCTGAATACTTTTAAAGCAAAGCGAAATTCGGCACGCGGAAAACGAAACACGTGGGAATTAGGAAAGTTGATCCGGGTTAAGAAGCTCTCATTATGCAGAGTAGGGGATCTGGGTTGATTATTGAACTGATTATCAACTACGGTTTTGTTAAGTTTCAGGTGAAATTACGCTGTACATAGTGTACTTTCAAAACCCTGAAATACCGACCGGCTGTGTTAATTGATCGCCTCAAAGAACTTATACCAAAGGCTTCCGATCCCACTTTTTACCTGAGATCGCTAGTTTGGCATGCAACATTCCCGTTATCCTCTGCATCACTTAATGTCTTTTAATTTTCTTCCATTCGCAGCACTTCCTGCTCTGGGTCTTGAACAATCAGATTATGTGATATACAACCGTTCCAACAAAGCCATTTCAACGCAGCTGGATAAGATCATTTTCAGATTCAAAACAGCCAAACGGAATGGTCTGCTCTTAGAGTGCGGCAACGGTCGAGACTATTTTCTCATCGAACTTTATCGTGGTTTTATTTTGTTACGCTGGAATCTTGGATTTGGTGAGTTAAACGTGCACGTGCGTGAAAAAGCGTGCGATGATAACGAATGGCATTCTGTTCGCGTTACAAGGAACCAGAACCAGCTTACTTTGATTCTTGATGGAGATCTAAAGATCTCACGACGTTTTCCTGGGAAATTTATTTCGTTTGACCTAAGACGCGGGGAAGGGGATATCTTTATTGGCGGCATGCCCACAAGTCATTTCCTTTCGAGCAGTCGTTCGTCGGGAATAAACTTTGAAGGCTGTTTGCAAGAGATCAACTTTAACGGCGTAGATATTGTTCAAGGAGTTGTTAATGGAGAAGAAGTCTACACACGGCATGGACGGCCAAGATCGACTTGTGAACGAGACCCGGAGCCAACAACGCTGAAAGTCACCACAGTAGAATCTACAACAGCTATAAGTAGCCGTCCCACTTCACAAAAACCAGCAGCAACCACGCATGTTTCCACCCACGGCGGTTCACGAATCCCCACGTCACATGCGGGAAATTCCGAGATACCGTGCTCGGATGACGAAGATGATTGTGATTCCGATACCTTAGGATCGGGTGACAGGGCAGAGGTTTCGGGCGAAAATCGTCAGTCGTCAGGCGATAACACGAAAGAGACCAATGTAACTGGCCCAAATTTAGTAACCAACAACAGCGTCAAAAAGCCTGTTAAAATTTTGCCAACAAAGACTTCCTCGGTAAATTCCAAGACTGTTCTCGTCGGAGAACCCGATGTCAATACCGGAATAAATTGCATTGAAGACGACGAGGACATGTGTGACGACGTTGGTGAATCTGGTCAGGGGTCTGCTAACACGGGCTCTGCCGGAAGTGCGTCACTAACTACTACTCTCGCAGCAGTCCCCACCAGTAGCAATCACACAAAGGGAGTTGTGCGTGCGATTGTGAAGAAGGACAGCACTAGAAAATGGGCGCTGATCGCGGGCATCATTGTGGTTGGTACCCTTCTTGTCGCATTTTGTATCTTTGCCATTTGGTGGCTATGTAAACACAAGAAAGATCCAAACCGGAACGGAACGCACAACGGCAGCAGAGAGAGATGTTTGCAAGCAGAAATGACAGACGTTTGAAAACATTTTCACCTCAGCGGGAAGTCAGATTCTGGTTTGTACTGCGGATTCTTTGTCGATAAGACGTTGATATTATTTATGCATCGCGAACACGTTAAAAAACAAACGAACATACAAAAACAAAAACAGAAACAAAAAACTGCATACATAAACGATCGATACAGGTGGTAGCGGAGAAACGGAAAAATCGCCCAACCTCTCTCCAGGTAGGAAAGAAACCTGGGAACGAGGTTGAAAGTCGCCTTATGTATTTGTACCATTGTTATAAAACATCAGCGTCAATCATACAACAAAGAATGGATATTATCTAATAATCTGTCTTTATCTTTTATGGTTTCATTATTTTCCGGACAACCAGCAATTAAATAGGGTATATACTCATAGATTAATTTCCAAAGTTATTATAATGTATATGCAAAATTTGCAAAAATTGATAACGTTAATCTACACCGAGTCACTGGTGATAGTATAACTGGGATAAAGAATCTCATTTTTTGGATTTTACAATACCAATTACTCAGCGTGCAGTTACGTAAGCTCTGGTCCCTCTGACGTTGCTTGTGTTGCTTAGCAACCGTAAGAGACTGCTGCTTACCATACTGGACTGATTAACTTGTTATATCACAACCTAAATGAGCTGTTTAAGCTTTGTTGCGTTATTGAAAAAACGTTTATATTAAATTTGTAGGTAATGCAGCGATGACTGTATTGCGTAGCGTAAGCTACATTAGAGAGATTAAGAGTCACGTTTACGTCAAACGGCAAAGGTGAATTTGTAACACTTGACAAAGTTTTCCCCTTAATGTCGTTTACTGTTTATTTTTCTACTCAAATGTAAGTAGTTTCACGCCAATTTTATCCATAAGAATTGCTCTGGACAATGTTTATCTGCTTATTTTCTATTCTGAGAAATTATCAACTTGAATCTGACGTTTGCCGTTTGCCGTAACGTGACTCTTAATCTCTCTATTACATTCGTTTGCCCGTTCCGAAGTTTGACAATTACACGAGGGAATTCTCGAATAGGGTCCTTATCAGTTGCAATAACAAGCGGATATCTCCGTGAGAAACACTAGTCTATTTTTAGGGCGAATTTCCTGCAGCTGTGCTGTTTACAATGTACGTTGTTTTACAATAAAATATCATACTCTAGTAAGTAACCTGTGATCGACTTAATTTTTTTAAAGGAACAACGGCAGAATACATGAGGCCAGTTTGAATTAAGCTGTTGCCCTTAAATATACTTCTCTATACTAGCGTCGCCCGTTACGTTGTTTCCTTAGACAAGGAACTTTACTCCACTGCGTCTCTTCACCCAGGTGTATAAATAGGTACCGGCGACATACTCCTGGGTGGTAACCCTGCGATGGACTAGCATCCCGTCCAGGGGAGAGTAGCAATACTCCTAGGCATACTTAACGCTAAGGAAACTGGGATAAGCTCCTGCGCGGCCGTTTGGGCCTTTGGCTATACTAGTACTCTGTCATGGGAATCTTCTCCTTCACGCAACGCATTCTGGTTTTATTGTTTCCTTGCTACTTATAAGTGTCTAGCCTGCGGTGTTTTGATTAATCTAACTCTCCTTTTCTCTTGCCTGATTATTACCCATGTGGATTTTACTTACTTTAAAAATTTTATTCTCACGTAGCGACTCGCCCGCTTTCTGTTTTGGAGATTAATTCTTGCCATAACTGTGTGATCACTGGAACGTGAATGGCTGGCGGCGTGTTCAGTGATTTGCAGTTTGATTCTTATGTTATTGGCCGTTGCGAGTCTACTTTTCTATGGACATTTCATCTATTAGTGTATTTTGATCTGTCGATGCTCAGAGGCCAGATCATGAGAACACAGTGTACAGTCCTTTCCGTTCTTATCTAAAAGCGCGCTGGGAAGCTTCTTTTTCATTTGAGGTTTGCGCTCAAAACAATGATTGTATTGATAAGCGCTTTACTTGTCTTTCCCATGAGTTTGTAATTAAGCAGGTTTAACTATAGTTAGATCAGCGCCAATTCGATTTACGAAACGAGTATGTTACCCAGCTTTATGGTTGGTTATATGGAATTGGCAAAAGATTAAGCGGAGTATAAACATTACTCATTCAAAACCGCTACTAAACATTTAAGTGTCGGTAGAGACAATAGAGAAAAGCAAGAAAGCGTGCGAGAAAGCATGTAATAAGCCGTGAATAAACCGGTTATTTAGTCGATAGTTAACCACGATAGTTATAACATTAAGCCGCTTGTTTTCTGTTTCTTCGACAACTAACACTTAGTTTCACTCGTTCAAACAAACCACTAAGTACACATTTATGTTGTGGTTTGAATTCGTTTTGTTATTGTCTTGTTTCTTTATAATAGGTTTTGTTTGCTAATTCGACGTTGACCTTTTCACACAAATTATTCAATACGTAAGCTCGTCATGATTGGCTAAACAAAGGCATCAGCCCTTTTCTTATTGGTTGACAATTATTCCATTGTCCTTTGCCTATAAATTTGCGACTCCACCCGGATGGTTGGGCGGAACCGTTACACGCTTACACCGTTCACATCTTCTTACACAGATCCATCCACCACAACTCCCAACCCCACCCCCCAACCCAAATAGCCGCTTTCACCGTGGATGCTTGCAAACCTCATCAGGAATAATATATGTGTTTCACTGGCTTGATACCCCTTCCTACAAAACTCATCCAATTCACTAACCCTCTATTAATTTATTCAGTTTAAGCTACTTACTTACATTGAGACTCAAAAAAAGTACCGATAAATTGCAAAAGAATTTTGATAAAATCTACATGAAAATAAGAAACTATATTACATTCAGAGTCGCTGATTTAATCTTTGACTTCGAGGGATGTGCAGGGGATTAAAACAAAACAAAACAAACAAACCAAAAAACGAGGAGGAATTGACTTTCAAGATGACCTGGACCACCAACAAAGAACTTGATAAAACTAGCAAAGATTTCGCATCACATTCTTAGAAAGGCGGAGAAATAATTTTCTCGTTAAATGGAATCCCGGAATATAACAGTAAAACTTGGAAAGATGTAGAGTAATAGGTTGAACAAGCGATCAACGGGCAAAGTTGACATAGAAAGAACTCAACAGGTGGAAATAATTTAGATGATGACGATCTTCGGTTAACTTTGTTCGAACTTGAAAATGGCTCTGAGATGTTAATTTCAAAGACTATATTTTCCCGGCAAAAATTCAAACCATTATTTATTAAAATCCTTCCAAAAATTAATGTAAGTATCAGTATTTTAAAAAAAATATGTATTAAACATGGAATCGCTCTATTTTCTTCGTCCACTTTCTATCAAAACACTCTTCACTACAATGCCAAGCTGTTAAATGATTTTCAAAATAAAAAAACTGCTCATCCGCCCACATCTCACTGGCAGCTTCGAGTCTTGTGTTCCATGGGTTACGCCCACTGTTACTTTGATCAGCAGTCTCATCCTCTCTTTTCATAGTAACCTGGCTATGAATGGCGACCTTAGCCGTGATTGGTTGGCCTTCTTTGACTGTGTGTATTTCAGTGCGTGTCTCATCATATACCGTGTTGGTGTCTTTTAGCACAACGCACCCAGCATCCAAGGTTATCGTGAGTTTATATTCGTCAGACAGAAAGCCAATATCAAGGTTCCTACGAGGACAATAGAAGGAAAGCGATTTTGGAGATTGAAAAAAACCTCTCAAGATTATGTTCAGGTGAAATTGTTGGGGACATGAACTATCATCAAATAAGGAGGCAGATGGGTGTAACCGTTACACTGACTACATTGACACTTAATCGAAAGTCAAACGCCCTCGAAACCAATCAAAGAGCCGTTCGAATTCGATACAGTGCACTCTTCAGTAGTAACGGATTGAACTTGTGTTTATTCGCTAACGTGGCCAGGGGTCGAATCCATTAATCAGGCCGAAACTCCCTCGTTAGGAGGTAAAAAATACCCTGCACATTTGCGAGCAAATGTTTGAGAAAGTAAAAACAACTACTACCGGACTACTGTACTTTGATCTAACATTGGCAACATTAAAGGGAGAGGTTCACGGTTCAGCGCATGCTCATTAATTAAATTACTTTTTTCCACATGTATCTCAGCGATCTCAGAGTGTATTTCAAAGTATACTTCAGAGTAACCTGAAGTGGGATGGAGGAGTACTAAAATCGCAGAAAAATTAGTGTATTATGCCAACACTACCAACGTTGAATTCGTTGTTGACCTGAAGGTTTTATTCCGTGGTTGATTAATTTACAGCTATTTGCACCTACGTTAATCAAGTAACTGCCAGGGTAGTGTGCAGATTGGTTCTTTGACAACATTATGACATGATCATTTTGTTTTCATAGACGATACAGCATGTCCTGGCAGAAAAAACAGCATTTTGATCAACGAACATGTGTTAAACCGTGAAGTTGTCCCTTTAAGGGCACCGTAATTGACATACCTTGCTTTTTGAGGTTTTCTCCTCCATTCAACAGGTAAGGTAAAACGCTTACATGCATCAGAAGATTCAAACTCCCCTAACTGAGAGTCCCTCTTGGTGACTTCTTCGTTTGATACTCGAACCGGAAGCAGCAGCTTACTTTTACTTCCTGTATGTACAGAGAGACAGGTCACGTGAGGCGAAGGCCAAACAAACGGCCAATAGACCGATGAGAGTGCTAGCCGTATTTTATGTCCAGCGGCGACTCTATAGGCGGTGGAATCCAGTTTCAATCGTGCTTGGAAGATTTCATGAGTTGGTACGGGTTTAACTTCTTCAGGTGAATGTCCTCGTAGATGGGTCAAGTTTAACACCCCTGGGAAAAAAGAAAAGATGGGAATATATTTAAATTCAGGGGTCAGTCTTTGAAGAAGCTGTACTGCCGCAAACTGGGGAAACGAAAAACTACAATTTCCTCAAAGCAAGAATCCCTTTGGTCATGACGTAATCTTTCCTTTGGTTTCGTCACGTAGAAAAAACTCGAGGGTGAACGAAAGAGCACCTC